CTCGCGCGTGCGGGCGTCGGGGTCCGGGCCGCGCCAGGCCAGCGCCTCTCGGCGGTGCGCGCTCCCAGGGGGGTGTCGCGAGTGGTGCGGCCTTCCGAGGCAGGAGACCCCAGCATTAAGTCGGGCGTGTCCCCCTACAGGGGGATTTTGGACGAATAAGAAAAAATAATCAACACATGCCCCCAAATAGTCAAAACATGCTAGACAAATCGTCCCCATATTATTTTTGGATTATTTTTTAGCATTCCCCCTCTAGAGGGACAGGCCCGACTTAACCCCAGCATCAAAATCGATAGGCCAGATCGGCGATAGAAATGGATCGCATCGGCGGAAGTCGACGGCCGGGTCGGGAAGAGTCGAATCGGCGGACGTCGGGAGGCCAGTAGGCTTCCAACGAAACAAGACGGAGCCCAGGTCGGAGCCCAGATGGCATCGAATCGGAATCGGAAGCCAACGAAGTCGAGGAATCGAAGGAATCGCAGCCGAGCCAACGAGGAATCGAAGCCGAGGCATCGAAGCCGAGGCAAGTCGGATCGGCATCGGAGGAATGGCACAGCGAGCCCCGTGCTCCGAGGAGGCGCGCCTCTCCGAAGGGCCTTCCTCCCCTGGAGGCGCCTGGCCGCTCTCGCGAGAGGGCCTGGCAAAAAGGCCGGGAGGGGCAGCACCCATTCGGGGAGCCTCCCCAGTTCTCGGGGGCGGCCAAGAGGGGGGGCGTCCAAGATGGGGGGGCGCCGTGACATCTGGGGAGATCTCGTGGCCCCCGCCATGATATCCCCAGTCACCACCCCCCTCTTGGCCGCCCCCGACACTTCCCCGCCTCGCCGATCCTGGCCGGGCCGATCCTGGGCACTGGATCGGTGTCTGCGCTGCCCTGGGCGAAGCCCTGGCCTGGCCGTGGTCGGTGAGGTGGTCACCCTATGTTATGAGGAAAATCCGGGAGGCCTCGCGCGACAACTTGAGGCCCGAGGTACGTCGGATCCGCGTCGGATTTATGTTGGGCTTACGTCGGGACCACGTCGGAATTGCGTCGGATGTACGTCGGACTGACGCCGGAGCATCGCCACGCAAGCGTCAACGCGCAGCTCGCGGAGCTGGCGTGTGGACTAGATGATAGAAGTACTACGTGCCGCGCGAGGCCTCCGGGATTCTCCTCAAAACCTATGCATGAGATGTCCTGAATTTGATAAGACGTGGTCCACGGAAGTTCCGAGCCTTTCCCAGGGACAGGGTTCTTATCCTGAGTCGTTTGTAGACGGCCTCTGGGTCAGGCGATGCCCCTCATGGCCGAAAACGACGAATAACCAGGCGTCCTGCTTTTTGTTTCACAGCGCGAGCATGTCTGGGCAACTGGTACCAGTATTTCCCTGACCTCTTTCGGGGTGCGTTCTGACCCGAATTCCGAAGCGAATCTAGCCGTGGCGACGAGGGCCTCCCAGCAGAAACAACCAGGCCCAAAGGAGGCAGAGGTACACGTCGTTCATGTCCAATCCTGCTCATTTCTAATCGTGCTCGTTTCTAAGTGTTCCTGGCCCCCCAGCGGCCAGGAAGGGGTCCAGGATAGAACAAGTAGAAATGAAATGATCCTGGCCCCCCAGAAAATCAAAGAACTCTCGATTATTTAGAAACGAAAAATGTGTAGTGGTATGGGCACCTCTCCTGCCTCTGACCTCGGTGAGATGGTGAGCAAACGTCGCCAGACTCCCCATGCCGACCTCTCCTGAGGTGCCGTGTGGCCAGAGCCTCGAGGAGAGTCCAATCGTGGCAGCGAGGGCTCTCCAGGACGAGCAACGGTACCGTTACCAGAGGCCTTCCAGTGGGTTGGGTCGGAGGCTCTCGCCGCATCGCCGATACATTGGCGACGCATCGTCGATGCATCAGCGACGTCGGCGATGCAGCGGCGACATCCGCATGGAGAAGATCGGGCTCCACATCCATCCGCGTCGCCGATGTATCATCGGCGACGCGGCGCTATCCTCCGACTCCATCTACTCCGACCCCATCTGGGAGGCCTAGAGTTACCTTCTCCTCCTCGCGCCACCCCTTTGGGGCGAGCACATGAAGGTAGGGGGAGGGGGGAAGGCTTCTCCGAAGGAGGCCGCTTCTTAGAAGGCGCTGGCCGTACACTTACAGGCAAGGCCCGCGCCTTATGAGAAGCCGGGGTGCTTCTAAGAAGTTTTCCCCCCTCCCCCATGCAGTCGGACTTGATTGGACAGGCTACGCGAGGGGACACGAGACCCGTCCGAGGGCCACCTTGCCACAGGAATGCAGGACGCATGGGTCGCGAGACACAGGACATAAGGGTACCCTTGATTGGCAAGGTCGACTACTCGTAAACAAGAACTACTCGCACGTGGCCCGGAGCCGCCGGGGGGGAGTTCCGATGCCTTACAACGATCGAAGCAAACACGTGCTTCTCTCTCGGACGATTGCGAGTAGGCAGTTCGCGAGTGGTGGAACGCGCTCGGTGATTCTGAGAAGCCTTCCCCCCAGAATCGACTCGACAAGTCGAATCGGCAATCGAGATGCATCGGATCGGCGGAAATCAGCAGCCGAGTCGGCAGAAGTCGAATCGGCAGAAGTCGTCAGGCCAGTGTGCCTCAATTCAGAGATCGGGGCCCGAATCGGAATCCCACGTCGACTCGACTCGGCATCGGAACCCATCGCAGCCGCATCGGCTCGAATCGGGGGAGATCGAAACGAGCCCTGCCTGCGCCCTCGGCGCGCGGCCGAACCCCCCCCCCTCTCGCGCGCGCCGCGCGGGCCTCCAGCTGCCGCCTCTCCTCCTCGCTCGGCCCCTCGGGCGCCGCCGCCCCTCCCTCGCCGCCCTCGCCGCGGCCCGCGGCCCCACCGCCCGCGCCCTCCCCGGCGCCCTCCTCGCCGCTGCCGGCCTCGCCGCTGCCGGGCGGGCCCTCCTCTCGGGGCGGCCGCGCCCAGACATGCCAATGTTAGGTCGGGCGTGTCCCCCTACAGGGGGATTTTGGGTGACCAGTGCACAACTACTCAGAAAATGCCCCCCAAATGAGCAGAAAGAGTAGCAAAAATCGTCCCCAGACTATTTCTCAACCATCTTGAATATTCCCCCTGTAGAGGGACGGGCCCGACTGAAGGCTGATGAGCTCGCGTCGTGAAGGCGCCTCGGAGGCGCCCGGCCGCTCGGCCGGAGAGGGCCTGGCAAGGTTGCCGGGGGGGGCAGCCCCCCGACGGGGAGCCTCCCCGAGTCCCCGTCGGGGGCGGCCCGGAGGGGGGGGTGCAGGTCATGGCCGGGGGCACGTGCGCGGCCCGAGGGGGGGGGGCCAGGGGCGTGATGAGATAAGTCACGAAGAGGCGCCATGAAGTCTGGGCAAAACGGCACGGCCCACGCCCTGGCATCCACCCCCCAACTCGGGCGGCGCGCACAAGAGGGTGGAGGGAGGGGGGAGGCCTTCCCGGCAGGAGGCTGCCTCTTGGAGGGCGCCAGCCTTACACCTA